GGCAGGCTGAGATCAGCAAGATCACAGTTAGATGCCAGCTCAGTCAAATAGTTTGAGAGACCCCATCTTCAAAATAACCTGAGCAAAAATGGACTGGAGGTGTGGGTCAAGCGGTAGAGCACTAGCTTTGCAAGCATGAAGACCTGAGTTCAAATACCAGTCCCACCAAAAACAAACAAGCAATCAAACAAATAAACTTTACCATTGAGCTACATTCCCAGCTCAGTTTATTCTTTTATGAAATAGGGGTGATAATAGGCCTTGCCTCATAGCACACAGTTGGGGAAGTAATGAATGTTGCTAAATTCTTGATTCTGAAATCGAATCAGTTTCCGCTTTAGTGCACTTTGCCCTGGACTATGATCTGCCCCTCTCCAGTTCATCTTGGTTGTGTCATCAGATCACATGACACAGTTTTCCTGGGGGCCACACTTAATCCTTACTGACCTGGAATGTATCTTATGAGCATTCCTGGAAACTGGTAGGAGCCCAGGGGCTGTAAATCCTGGATCTGGGGCGGCCCAAAGGTCTCTGCACTGACCCAGACAACAGCTGGAACTGGCCAGGGGAGATGCTGCCTGATGGGGAAAGTGTGAGGCTTCCCAACCCCCACTTCCCGAGGAGTTCAAAGTGCAAGGCTGCAGGTCTGCTGTGAACAGATTGCTCACCCTTTGGTTTCCAAGGCACTTGTAGTGAAAAAAAAACCACTTCTTCTGTGTGAACCTCCTCACTTACTCTGTAACAGCCTTATGGCTAGAGGTTTGGGGAAAGGACCTTGCAGTTGGGATCCATGAAACTCATATCCCCTGTTCCTGGAAACCTTCACCCCCGAAGTCCGTTTTTCATTTACAAAGCAGCTGATTCATAGCAGGCGTTGTGCTGAACACACTGTGAGCATACTGAATTTGATTCTCACCTTGGGTCCATGGGCTGTTTGAACTGGATAATACTTTGTTCTAGGGGTCTGCCTGTGCATTGTAGGATATTAAGCACATCCTCCTAGCTTTCACCTATTAAATGCCAGTGGCATCCCCAGTTGTGACAACCACAAATGTCTCCATACTGTCATGTGCTCTGTAGAAGAAAATTAACTCTGGATGAAAATCGTGGATTTAATTGAATGGGCACCAATCAGATAAACCAGGTGCTGTTTTTATCCCATTCATAAGGTCTCTCGAACTATTTGCTGTGAACCTTGATCCTCTTGATTTCTACCTCCTGAGTAGCTAGGATTACAGGTGTGAGCCACCAGCGCCTGTTCACACATGCTTTTCAAATGCACAACCACTAAGCTACACCCCCTAACCCTATCACTTACTACTACTATTATTATTATTGTTATTGTTATTATTTTCTGGTACTGGGGATTGAACCCAAATCTTCACACATGCTAAGCAGGTACTTTACCACTTGAGCCATGCTCCCAGCCCTATTATTTTTGAGACAAGGGTAGAGGGGTAGAGAGGTGTCTTGCTATGTAGCCCAGGCTGGCCTGGTACTTGTGAGCCTCCTGCCTCTACCTTCTACTCCTTTTTAGAAAAGAAGAAACTGAGCCTAAAAAGATGAAGTCTAAGAAAATGACATGGAGGGATGGAATGTAGCTCAGTGGTAGAGGGTTCGCCTAGCATGCTCAAGGCCCTGGGTCCCATCCCCAGCACTGCAAAAAGAAAAAAAGAAAAGAAAATGACACAGGAGCAAATCCATGTCTTCTGTTGAAGGGAGGAGCTAAAAAATTAAACAGGCACTTGGTAAGCAATTCCTCATGTGATCCTTACATAACCAATTTTTTATGTAGACAGTAACATTCCCATTTTAGAGATGAGGAAATTAAAATAAGTTACTAAAGGTCATACAGGTACTTGCTTCTGTTTATTTATACTCCACCTTGTTCCAGATGGATTCACACACAGATTTGAGCCTCATCTGTCTGGTTCCAAAGTCCAGGCTCTTTCCCTGACACTAGACAGATGCTGAGTGTCTGAGAACTGGTCTTGAAGCAGATGACCAGGTCTGGAGAGGCAGCTGGGGCAGAACTGAGTCCACGGCCTGGGGAGGTGCTGCCAACCGGGCCCAGCCAGCTGGCGTAGAATTAGACCAGGCATTCTGGTGGATACAAACATATACTCCACACCTATTTGTTCTTGTTGTTTTGGAGTTTGAACCAGGGCTTTGTGTTTGCAAAGCAGGCGTTTTACTGCTTGAGGTACATACCTCCTGTCCTCTTTGCTCTGGTTATTTTGGAAGTGGGGGGGGGGTCTCACGAACTATTTGCCCACTCTGGCCTTGAACTGAGATTCTCCAGATCTCAGCCTGCCAAGTAGCTAGGATTACAGGGGTAAGCCATGGTGCCAGGCTTGTTGTTTGAGACAAGATATCACTGTGTAGCCTAGGGTGGCTTCAAAGTCTTGATTCTCCTGCCGCAGCCTTCTGAGTACTGTGATTACAGGCGTGTGCCTCATGCCCAGCTTCTCCACATTACTTACCAGCCCCTACTTCATGAATAAAAGCACCAGACAAAAATTCCTGCCAAAGGTTAGCAATCTGATGGGGAAATGAAGGAGTCACAGAGATAATTATCAATTTAGACAGAAAAAAAAGCTTTGGTGGACTGGGAGTTAGCTCTGTGGTATAGCGCCTTCCTACTATGAGCAAGGCCCTGAGTTCAATCCCCAGTACTGCAAAGAAAAAGAGATGTATTTTGTAAAGGCTGAAGAAGGAAGGTGTATATCCTCGGGGTGGTGATGGTGCCAAAGAAACCTTTTGGTATGAGGGACTCTTAAATTGAGGTTCAATTCGACCCATCTGTGAAATGGAACTAATAAAACTGGACCTGGTGACATATATCTATAGCCTCAGTACTTGGGAAGCTGAAGCAGGAAGCTTATGCAAGGTCAGCCTAGACTACAAAGCAATATCCTGCCTCAAAAAAACAAAACCCAAAACCCAACCTTTTCTTTATTCATGCCAACATTGAGCGCTTACTGTGTCCCAGACTCTGCCATATGTTGGTAGTACAGCCTGAATGAGAAAGACACAGTCCTGGTCCCCGTGGACCATGAAGTCCATGGGGGAAAAGATGAACATACGCAAATACTTGATAAGCCCTAGAGAAATCAAAAGCCCTAGGAGCTATGAGGGAGTACAACCTACCCCAGGCTGAAAGATAAGAAAGGATCAGCCAAGGATGGGAGGGGAGAGAAGTGTGGGGCAAAGATTTCTGGCAGAGGAAGCCCCGTGGGAGAGGAGTCTTGAACAGGAAGGCAGGCTTGCAGGGGTAGAGGGAGCAGAGAGCCTGTAAGGAAGGCTGAGGCTGGAGAAAGGCCTGGGCAGATCTGGTAGGACTTTGCAGGAGACGTCAGGAATTTTGGACTTCGGCCTGGAGATGTAGTTCAGTGGCAGAGGCTTGTCTAGCATGGAAGAGACCTTGAGTTCCACCCCCAACGCCACAAAAAGAAAGAAAAAATAGTATTTTGAACTTTATACTCTGGGCAATAGGGACTCTTTAAAGATTTTGTTTATTGCAAAATAGATAGTATTTATTAGAAAAAGGAGTGGATAAGATAATTAAGATTTGTTTAGCCCTCCTATGTGCAGTGCCTCACTAAATACATTGCACGATCTGATTCAATCCTCACCAGAATCCTCTATCTGGAGGCTGTTACTAGCAACTTTTTTTTGAGATAGGGTCTTGTTATGTAACCCAGGCTGGCCTCGAACTCAATCTTTCTGCAACTTCAATCTTGAAGTTGCTTCCTTCAAGCCAGGGCAGTTCTCAGAGAGGGACTCAGCTAAAACCCTTTCAGGGGAGTGGCTGGCACCAAAACATCCACTAGAGGAAAAGGAGATGAGCATTTTCTAACTGTTTCACAGAGACCTCAGGCTCCAAGGTGGCACTTCAGTGCGTGGGAAACCACTCTTCTCAAGTGTGGTGTAACTTCTGCAAGAGTCTAACCTATTTCCTCGGAAGAGAGGGCTCTGCTGGAAAGTTGTAAATGCCCTTGGAGCATCTGATTCTCCTTCGTGCTTAGGATCACAGTTGTAATGCAATTAGGTGCTAATCTAAATGTCTGCTCCAATTTTACCTGAAGGTAAAATTTCTAGAAAGAGAGAAACCTCTCTCCCTCATCGCTATATGTCCAGGGCACATTACAGATTAGGTGCTAAATGAAAAAACACCAGGGAAGCTGTTACAAATGCAGATTTCCCAGCTCAGCCTCCAACCACTGGTCTTAGCTTGTGATCCACTTCTCTATCTGCCAGACGGCTCTAGTAAATGTTGTTATTAGAGTTTGAACTCAGGGCCTCTGGCTTGCTAGGCAGGTGCTCTACCACTTGAGCCACTCCACCAGTCCTTTTTTATGTTAGGTATTTTCAAGATAGGTCTCACAAACTATTTCGCTGGGCTGACTTTGAACCTTGATCCTCCTGAGTAGCTAGGATTACAGGCGTGAGCCCCCAGCACCAGGTTAGCTGGTGGATGATTGAAACCTAACAGGCTCCTCTTTCTACTTACTCTCAGAAGGCTTCCAACAAAGTATGGCTTCAAAAGCCAAACAAACAAAAAAATCCAGCCACTAGCTACCTTCTGCAAATTCCAACCAAGGTAGATCTGTCCAGGTCCTGGATTGCCAGCTGCAGAAATTTAAGTTCATTAGATACTATCTGGAGCCAAGAGTTTTTCAATTTTGTGTGCAAATTGGACATGATTTTTAAAAAAATGCACATTGAGAGCACAGGCAGGGGGCAAAAGTAGTGAAATTCAGCCAGATGCCAGTGACTCATGCCTGTAACCCTAGCTACTCAGGAGGCAGAGATCAGGAGGATCGGGGTTCAAAGCCAACCCCAGCAAATAGTTCCTGAGACCCGATCTGGAAAAACCCATCACAAAAAAGGGCTGGTGGAGTGGCTCAAGCAGAAAGAGCACCTGCCTTGTAAGCATGAGGCTCTGAGTTCAAACTCCATTGCTGCCAAAAAAAAAAAAAAGTAATGAAATTCAAAGAACTCTAGAATAAGACTGTTCTACCTAAGATGCACTTGGGCACATTTCTGAATACTGAATAGCTTACTACTGCCAGGTGCCAAGTCTCTGAATTGAGCAAGGTGGTTTTCATGCATCCTCGAAGGCCTCCTATCACCCTAGGTATTAATTCCATTCCACTGATAAGGAAATTGAGGGTAAGAAAATCCAAGTAACTTGCACAGGTTAGACATTCAATGTTGAAGCTGGAATTTGATCCTGGATCTAACTCTAAGTTGGCCCTAGATTCTCACTTGTGGTAGAACACTTGCCTAGCATGCCAAAAACCAAGAGAGTATTTGAAGACTCTATTGACAATACCAATAGTCTTTCTGTACATGCTACCGGCATTTATATTTATATTATGACTGAGGAAACTTGAGGCACAGTGAAATTAACCAGTGCCCCCAAGGATAATGATTGGCTAAGTCTGGGCCAGAATCCAAGTTTCGTGGTCCAGATCTCAACTTTCTCTCACACCTTCTCAAAATAACTAGACAGAAAAGCAAGTGTACAAGACTACCACAAAAAATGGAGCAGTACTGGGCTGGTGGAGGGCTCAAGTGGTAGAGCACTTGCCTAGCAAGTGTGAGACCTTGAGTTCAAACCTCAGTACCACCACAGAAAAAGGAGTGGTACCTCAAGGGGAAAGGAAACATGGAGTCAATCATGGGAGGTTTCTGGTAGGTGACCCACTTTTTAGTTTATGATGGCAGAGCAAATGGGAAGGAAGCCGGAGAGGTCTTAGCTCTTAGTCACCATGTGGTTTTCCTGATGAGCTCACTAGTTCCTGGTGCCCAGAAAGTTTGACCAAGGTCACACAGCTATAAATGACACAGGCGCAACTCTGGGGTGCACGTAACTCCTTATGCCTGGTCCTGTCTTGTTGGTGCTGGTCAGGAAGGAATGAGCAGTAGACAGTCACGATGTGGTGGGGTGGGACACAGGGCCACAGGGACAGCCTCCCTCTGTCGTAAGAGAAGTTCAGTAGTGGAATATACACTAAGGCAGAGGGCCAAGGCCTCAGTCAAGCAGACTGCACTGGGATTCTGGCTATAGCAGTAACCAGCTATGTGGCCTCAGCAGTCATCTCACCTCGGTCTCAATTCTTTTGCAGGATTGCTGCAGCTTCAGAGAAAGGTCTCAGGGCACCCACCTCAGGGCCAGGCTTAGTGAGAAAAACAAGGCTATTAGTGTTCCACAGTGCCAGACTAGGCACTGATGGGTGGTAGAATCGAACACTCAAGGGACAGAAGTAGTCTTTCAATGCCAAAAATTCCCAACCTTTGAATCACTGGGCACAAGTACCCGGCAGGACAGGGGCTATCAGGTCATGCCCAGGAGGCAATCACAGCTTCTAGCTCGTGCTACGAGGCGAACCCTGACCTTCAGGAAAGGGAAAGACAGTCCATTACAAGGTTACAAAACAAAACCTCGGTGAGCTTTTATTTCTCACCATCTGGTAGCAAGGCCGAAGATTTCTGTGTTTTAACACTAGATCCCCTTCCCACCTACCCAGGGGACATTTACAGAGTACTCCAGAACTCAGACCCCCATGCCGGGGCCCCTTTCCCTCAAGCCCACCATCTGTGCAGGGAGGGCTTTCGGACATGAGGGGGTACTAACTGCTTCCCCGTGCCTGCACGGGTATGAAATGTGGTACACTGGCCGGGCTCCTCTCTTGCCCCACCCCAGGGAGGAAAGTCAGAAGCAGCAGCATTGTGTCCTTGCCTTTCTCAGGTACCTCTGAACTGGCCCAAGAGGAGGTACCTACTGCCAGAAGGGCAAGAAGTCAGAATTCACAGTTGTTTGCTACAGAAAGTGCCTGGGGTCAGTCCTTGGCTGCTTCTGCCTCCAAGCAATCCATCTAAAATACAGGAAAGGAGACAGCCGGGCCTGGGATGGGGTTGTGGTATAAGAAGGGGTGTATTTGGAAGGCAGCCATGAGAGGCTGCCTAGAAGTGAGGGTCCCCAGGGGCCTGCAAGATCTTGTAAGAAAACCAGTTTACTGTTGGCAGTTTGGCCTGAGATCCCAGAGCAAAGCACTGGACCTTGGGAAACTTAACTGAACCCCTCAGTCTGCAACTGTGGCCGTCAAAGAGGTGTGGCAATCTGCCATGGCTACCCAACCAGTGGCAGGGCCTCAACAAGAACCCTGGTATCTTTCTGGGTGGGCCTTGGCGCTATATCAGACACCTAGAAAGGCTCAACTTTTTGGCAAGCATTGAACAGAATCTCCCTCTCCTCCTTCCAGGCATCAACTTTGGCTCCAAGGATGAGGCCCTGAAGGTTTGACCTCACCTATAAATGACCCAAATACAGAGAATTTATCCCCGAATACTCCTTCCTCATTAGAAGACTGATGGACACTCCAACTCTCTAGAGATAGTCTGCTCTCTGGATATACTTGGCCCCTCTCCTGGGGCCTTACACCACTGGGCATGAGAGAAAGGGGTATGAGGGCAAAGGAAATAAAAGAACTGAGGAAAGAATCGGGCAACCCAGGAACAGAGGTCCTTTAGGTGGCCCAATAGAACAGGCTTTGGGAGAACTGGGCACACAGACCAGCTGTGGCCCTGACTTTCACATTGATGGGTGAATGGCAGGTAGGAGGTAATGAAATGTGAGAATGAGGGGAGAGGAAAGGCAAAGCTGCCTGGAGTGTTAGGCCCTTCTCCCACAGGGGCCATAGCACTTGGGGTATGAGGGGCTCAGCCTGCTGGCATGTAAGCCTGGGTTCAGCCCATTTCCCTTCCTATGTCCTCTGCTTCTGGGGACAGGGGAAGGAGGAAGGACACAGCCCCTCAGGATATCCTAGTCTTCTTCCAGCTCCCAGGGGCAGAGCTGAGATCCCACAGTCAGTGCAATGAACCTGTCCATTCCAGTGAGATTTAAAAGGAGAGTGTGGCCGGGGGGCTGCACATCACACATATGCCCATCCCCAGTATGGGGCAGACGGGCATGAGAGAGGAAGGGTCCTGGGTCTGTCTCCAGGTGAGAAGTCCCTGCGAGGAGGATGGTCCCCTCAGGGCCAGCTGCTCTGGGTGTGGATCCTGTGCAGGAGGGAGTCAGGTCATGTAGCGAGTGATGGCGCGAAGGGCATAGAGCAGGGCGGCTTGCATGCGGGCCTCCAGGAGCAGCAAGTTCACGTGGACCTGGGCACAGACCAGGGATTGATGACAAGCGATCCAGAGCCCTCCCAGAGTGCACTTCTCTGACCCTCTCCCTTCTCTTTCCCACAAGATGCCCTGATTCATGCTAAGGCAATGAGCAGTTTAGTGCAATGACTACTGAAGAATTTCCAGCACATTCTTCCCTATCGTTACTAATCTTTGTATCCCACTAGGCTAAACAGAATAAGAACTAAATCTAAGTACCTTTCCAGGATCAGGGGTTTACGTCCATTTCTCATTTTGTCTTCCTAACAACCTTGAAATCCACTGTAATGAGGAAAAGTGTGGCCAGGCAAAGCTACTTGCCCCAACTAAGTCACACAACTACTGAGTGAGTGTCATGATTTGAACCTAGGTCCGCCAGGCTGCCACTGAAGCCACTGTAAAGTGGGCACCCATCCTCCCATTTTTCGGGGGAGTAAATGGAGTCTGAAATCACACAGTGGAATAGGACTTGAACCCAGCACAACAGACCCAGGTGTCCCAATTGGCAGGACAGAGTAAAGCTGGATCCCTCATTGGCTTCTGTCCCCTGCCTCTGCCCCTGGCTGGGCCCATCTACTTCCATCTGGTTCCTCCCCCATGGTACCTTCTCTGAGTGGCGGAAATGCCTCCAGAAGAGGTTGTACATTCTTCGGGTGGTCTTCTCCGGGTAGCAGGCCACTGTCTTGATATAGACCTTGAGGTTCCGCTCCAGGAGCTGGTTCACCTCCCCATAATTGTAGTCATCATATCTGATGGAAAGACCCCAACAGCATTATTCACCCTCAGAAATAGCCTGTCTTCTCCACCCTACCCTACAGAAGAAGAACAAAGAGTGGCAAGAAAAGTCAGAAGGTAGGGAGCAACAAGGAGCATGCTTCCTCTTACAAAAGCAGTTTACTATAGTATATCCTAGGCCACCAGACTCACAGGAGATCCCTCCAAGAAATGCAGACATCAGGATGCTGCATGGAGTACCAAGTATATACATGTTCTCATGAAATCTTCAAAACCATATACTACTAATATACAGTGTCCATCAACTTCATTTTACAGATGACGAAACTGAAATTAAGAGAAATCACTTGCCTTAGATCTGACAGAAGAGAATGGATTTCACACCTAGCTCTGCCTGGCTCAAAGACCATATTCACTATCCTATAGTCTTAACTGTAGGAGGAGGTCATGTTGGAGAAGGAAGTAGGTAATCGCAAAAAGGAACTGGTACAGATGGGCAAACTAAGGCCTAAAGAAGGCAGTTAATTTGCTGAAAGTCAAAAAGGAAGTTGGTGAAAAGTCTAGAAGCCACTTTTCCTATTCCCCAGTCCAATAAGCTAGAGGCAGAGATCAGGAGATTTGCTGTTCAAAGCCAGCCTGGGCAAATCGTTCATGAGACCCTATCTTGAAAAAAACCCATCACAAAAAAGGGCTGGTGGAGTGGCTCAAGGTGAAGGCTCCGGGTTCAAACCCCAGCACTACCAAAAAAAAAAAAAAAAGAAATGGGAAAGCAAGGACCACACTGGAGAATGAAGAAGCCTAAACTTGAGGGATGGGCAGGAACTGGTTTGTGCTGTATTCGCAGATGCCACCTTGCCATCCCAGGGTAGGAAACTTGCACTCTAGCAAAAAGGTGATCAATTAAGGACTGGGGGCATAACTCAAGTGATAGTGGTAGAGTACCGATCTAGCAAACATGAGCACAGGCCCTGAATTCAAACCCCAATAGCATCAAGAAAAAAAGAGATGGCCAGCTGGGCACTGGTGGCTCATGCCTGTAATCCTCTTAGGAACAGAGATCAGGAGAACTGCGGTTTGAAATCAGCCTAGGCCCTATCTCGAAAAAAACCCATGACAAAAAAGGGCTGGTGGAGTGGCTCAAGGTGTAGGCCCTGAGTTTAAACCCCAGTATTGCAAAAAAAAAAAAAAAGATGGCCAATTAAGTACAGCACAGTCTATTCAGTGCAGTAATTCATACCTAATATAGAAATATTGATTTTCTATAAGGAGTATGTACCTTTTTAAAAAATTTAGGACAACTTTTTGATACTTGGTATAAATTGCTAAATGAGAAAAAGTTACATGTTCACTAAAACATACTGTTTAAGTAAATGAGTAAAATAAGTAGGTAGGAAAATGGTGGCAACTCTTGTTTGTGTAAATTAATTTATGCTTTGGTTATTTGTGCACAGAAAAAGACAGGAAGGAATAACTGGCAATAATAAGAGCAAGTGGACTCATCATTTTTATATTCTTTTTGTTATCTATGTTTTCTAAATATTCTTTTCCATTTTTTTATTAGCATGTAATAGTTGTACAACTGGAAGTGTGGTTCAAGTACTAGAGCACCTGTTTTGCAAGCATGAAGTCCTGCGTTCAAATCCCATCCCATTCACACACATAAAAATATTGGGCTGGTGGAATGGCTCAGGTGGTAGAGCACTTGCCTAATAAGTGTGAAGCCCTGAGTCCAAACCCCAGTACTGCCAAAGAAATAAATAAGTAAATAAAAAATCTACAGGGGACACACTGTGATATTTACAATGTATCTTAGATTTATCCCCTCTAAATTTTCCAAAAATCAAACTCTTTTTCTCTTTATACACTTCCAACATAGTTTTTTTTCCTAATAAAATGATCATTATAATTTCAGCTACATAAGAAAAGTAGTGGAGAAAAACAGGATGTGGATGTCATTACACCGGAGAAGAATTTTAAGAAATCTGCTTTTTTCCTTAATTCTATACATTTTCCAAAATGTTATCAGGGTAAGAATTTTATAAATAAAAAATAAGTACTTTATGTATATCCTTGACAAGTAATTTCACTTTTAGGTTTTATCTACAAGAACTTACGCATATGACTAGTCAGTATACATGGTGTTTGTTAAGAGTGAAAAACTCTAAACAGGGCTGGTGGAGTGGCTCAAGCCTAGCCAGCGTGAGGCCCTCTGAGTTCAAACCCCAGTACTGAAAAAAAAAAAAAAAGATTTCTTTTCTCTCAATGCATTTTGAACATTTTCCATTTTCCCACAGTAATATAAATAGACTTGTAAACTTCCTGTTGCAATTTTTTATTTTTTGGCAGTACTGGGGTTTGAACTCAGGGCCTCATGCTTGCTAGGCAGGTGTTCTACCACTTGAACCACTCCACCAGCCCTTTTTTGTGTTAGGTATTTTCGAAATAGAGTCTTGAAAACTATTTACCTGGGCTGGCCTCAAAGTTCGATCCTCCTGATCTCAGTCTCCCAAGTAGCTAGGATTATAGACATGAGCCACCAGCACCCAGCTTGCAATTTTTTTTTTCATATGGAACATTTCATGAATTTGTGTGTCATCCTTGCGCAGGGGCCATGTTAATTTTCTCTGTATCATTTCAATTTTTTTTTTAAGTATATGTGCTGCCGAAGCGAGCACTGCAATTTTTAATAGCTACATAATATCTCCCTGAATGGATGAATGGATCTGTCATTAATTGAAGTTCTATGAAAACCAGGCATGGTGAAACTACAGTAGTAATTCCAGCACTTATTAGACTGAGGCAAGTTCAAGACTAACCTGGGCTACAATAGTGAAATTGGGGACAGCCTCAGTTACTATTTGATAGGCAGGTGCTCTACCACTTCAGCCCATTCCAGTCCCTGGAACAGAAATATAACTATATATAGAAATATATGTATATAGTATATACATATATGTATATTATGTATGTGTACATATTTACCTATAGATATAGACAGATGTATGTAAACACACACACAGCCATAGTTATCTCTGGTGGTAAGATTAATGAGTTTCATTTACAAGGTTCAAACAATGAGTGTGCTTCTATTAGCGTTTCCTTTTTTTTTTTTCTTTTTTTTGGTGGTACTGGGGTTTGAACTCAGGGCCTCATGCTTGCCAGGCTTGTTTATCTTTTTTTGGTGGTATTGAGCATTGAACCTAGGGCCTTGTACATGTTAGACATGCACTCTACACTGAGCTCTATGTCCAGCCTTCCTATTAGCTTTTAAAACCAGGAAAGAAATAAATTTGTTTTAAAAAATAGTTCAGACTGGGTACCAGTGACCCATGCCTGTAATCCTAGCTACTCAGGAGGCAGAGATCAGGAGGATAGAGGTTCGAAGCCAGCCCAGGCAGATAGTTTGTGAGACCCTACCTTGAAAAACCCCATCACAAAAAAGGGCTGGCAGAGTGTTTCAAGGTATAGCCCCTGACTTCAAACCCTAGTACTGTAAAAAAGAAAAGTTCAGGAGTTGTGCACTGTGACTCACACCTGTAATCCTAGCTATTTGGGAGACTGAGATTGGAAGGATCGTGTTACGAGGCCAGTCAGGGCAAACAACTTGCGAGTCCCCCATCTCCAAATAACCAGAGCAAAATGGACTGGAGATGTGGCTCAGGTGGTAAGGTGCCTGCTTTGCAAACGTAAAGCCCTAAGTCCAAACCCTGGTCAACCAAAAGCAAAACAAAACAAAACAAAAATAGTACAGGAAAGAAGAAAGGTAAAGAAAAAACAAAAAGAAGTAACAGTGAGCTTAGAGTGAAGACTTGTGGTGTACATGTGCCCTGAACACGGGGCTGTGTACTCACCTGATGCCAAAAACGCAGTGGATATAATTCCAGATGGCTCTGCGGAGCACAGACGTGTCCACGCCACTGTGCATGGCCATGGTATTGTAGGTGAGGCTGTAGGCCGCCTGGAACTTCTCATCGAGCAGCTGTCCCCCTTCAGGGTAGAGCCGCTGGATCAGCGAGTAGCCATGTTCTTCCCAGGTATAATCCTCAGGGACGTGAGAAGAGGTCAGCACGTGAGACTTTGGAGCTCAAGGTTGGCCAGAAAGTCCACCCTCTGGACCTCTAGAACACACCTTAGCTCTCTGTACCCTCCCGCCCTACCCCACAAATGGAACATACTGCTGGCTCTGGGCCTGAGAAGCCAGGTCCCCTTCTCCCTGTGAGCAGGACTTCCTGAGCTTAGGGCACAGATGGGTCCCTTTAGGATTACTAGGCCCGCACATGGGATCCTGAGGGGAGATGGTACTTAACTCCATAACACTCTCCCCCTTCCTGGCCAAGACCACTGGGGAGAGCCCTACCTGGGCGCGGAAGGTGGGGGGTGCCTGAGTCCCTCGGCGGGTGAAGTCCTCATATCCGAAAGTGGGGTCTTCCACAAAGCACAGCATGTCTGGGTGTGGTGAGGGCTCCAGGATATCAGCTGAAGACCATGTGAGAAAGGGATCACAGTGAGTCTGAGGTATGAAGCACATGGGACAGGATCTTGACTAATCACTCAAGGGGGACAGGGAGGCGGAGTAGCGGGCCAGGCAGAGGCCCTGGCCATGGTATGTGGGAGCAGCACTTCACCGGGAGCCAGGCCTGAGGAGGAGGTGAATCAGGTCTATGAACCTAGGAGACAAGGCTGCTGGTGACAGGAATGGAGGCAGTTCTATGAAATGGCTCAAGCTGGGACAGGTTCTGTGCCAAACTCTGCTTCATTTACCCCACACCAATCCAGAAGCCCTGAGACCGGAAGTGGCTTGTCAGTGGTCACCCAACCAGAAAGGCTAACAGACCAGGATTCAAGCCAACCCTGAATCCAAGGCCTATTTTTAGAACGTCTTGGAAGGAAGATTGAGGGGTGGCTGCTTCTGGAGCACAGGAGGCGTGGTGCACAGGTGTGCAGAAGTGATGTAAGAGGGCTGTCCCTAGGACCAGGACGCCTGTGTTCCTGTACCTGACGGGGTCACAAGTAGACTCTCTGACTTCTCCAGCTCAAAACGGCTTTCCATCTCCTCCTGGGACGCTCCCTCATCCCGCAACAGGCTTTCCTGCAGCTGCCTCATGCGTTCCATCAGAGCCTCCACATCACGGGCAGCCTCAAAGCCCTGCAGGAGGGACCTAGTAGTCACCATCTGTTCCTCCTCCCTCGACCTCTGGAAGTCTCTACTCACCCTTCCCTCATACCAGGCCTTCTGGAATGACCACACAGGACTAGGGCAGCCTGTGATCCAGCTACTGTCCTGGGCATTCCCAAAGGGAAGCTTTTAATTTTTAATCTTTTAAAAAAAGGGCAGTACTGGGGTTTGAACCCAGAGCCTCAAGCCTGAGGGCTGGTGCTCTACCACTTGAACCACTCTGACACTGACAGCCTTTTTTTTAAGCAGCACTGGGGTTTGAATTCAGGGCCTCATGCTTGCTAGGCAGCGGGAAACTTTTGAAGGCAAGAAGAGACAAATGTCTTCCCTAGGCATTGCTTTCCCTCAAAGGTAATTTATAAGCTGGGCACCAGTGGCTCACACCTGTAATCCTAGCAACTCAGGAGGCAGAGATTAGGAGAATCTTGAGACCCTATCTCGAACATATCCATCACAAAAAAGGGCTGGTGGAATGGCTCAAGGTGTAGGCCCTAAGTTCAAGCCCTAGTACTGCAAAAAAAAAAAAATTTATAAAATATCTGAATATTTCCCCCCTTTCAGTGCCAGGGATCAGATGCAGGACCTCACCCACACTAAGCAAGCACTGTACCAATCAACTACATCCCCAGTCCAAACTCTGTATTTTTAAAGTTGCTAAAAACTCAGACTTTGATCCTGTGAGGCTACATGCCTCACACGTGTGTGAGCACATCCTGTGATCATGTCACATGGTATTGCACTTACTGCTCAGCACCCACTGTGAGTAGGGGTCTTTGTCACCATTTAATACATGACGAATCTGAACAATAAAGTCTGATAACTTCTCTGTGGCCTCTTGGTTTGAGGAGATAGGGAAGTCATAGCTTCCACCCCAGGATCAGAGACTTTCCCAGCTTCCTCCCCAACCAAGACCCAGGAAGAGACTTACCCCAGAGCTGCTCAATGGGTCCCCACTGGGAGGGCTGCCTTGCTCACTAGGGGGTGATGGTGCTTGAGGGGCAGGGCTGCCCTCTGGGTCCCCTTCAGGAAGGATGCCACAGCCAAACACGAAGGAGGCCAGTGAGTGGCAGTGGGTGAGCAGGACCAGGGCTTGGATGAGTTCTGCCAGGGACCAGCTGTGCTCGCCTGTCTTCAACAAGGCCTGGAGAGGAGGGACAGCCCAATCTGTTCAATGCCTGTTCCTGGCCTGTCCACCATGCCCCAGCCCGTGCCCTGGGCTCCCTTGGGGAACCAGCCCTCTGCCCACTGCACCTGGATGTGTTCCTTGGTGATGAGCCATGGCCGATGCGCAAGCAACTTGTTGATTTCACTGAGTTTGCGCAGCTTCTCAGGGGCCCGGTGGAGGCCCAGAAGCCACTCGGGGTCACCACCAGTCTGCAGAAACTCAGCCATGTGGGAGCCCACCAGGTAAGAACACTGGTGGCGGGCAGCTGCCTGTGGAAGAGGATGAGCAGTATGGGTCACCCTCTTCCTTCTGTGCCCAAGTCAGAGTGTGTCCCGTTGTGAGGGAGATATCATAGGGCTTATTGTTGCCTAAGAAGTAGAAAACCTAGGTTCTCCTAACAGCATTCCAGCAGGCTGCATGTCACCCTCCCCCTCCCATACTTCAGTTTCCCAGTCTGCAAAGTAGGCACTAAAGATGCCTCTCTTCAAAACCTAAAATACTACGGCCAGTCAAGTAAAGCCACATCTTTGCTTTTCATCTATGAAGTCAACTCAGGAGGCCCTCAGCAAAAAGATCAGGGGACAGACCCCCATGTGGCCACCCCCGCAAACACCAGGCCCAGACAGGCTCACCATGATGGCAATGTAGTGGCGCCAGGAGCTGGCCAGGGGCCCATCCGTGTGCAGCAGCAGGTAGTGAAGGCGCCAAAAGCTGCTAAGGTAGTCAGGGTGCAGGCCCATCACCACTGCGAGGTTGTCTACCCGCCCTGAGGACATCAGCGCCTCCAACCCCAGGTGGTGCTCGAGGCTCTCAGCCCCTTCCCGAAGGACCTGCCAAGCAAAGAGGAGGAAGGCATGGGTTCCCTCCTGCCCTCCCCGCCACAGGCTGACACATTGTTTGCAATGGGTTTATGATAGCAGGAGACTGCAGCCCACCACCACGTACAAAACAGGGTGGAGAAGAAACATTACCTCTGATTAAGTACCTGCTGGCTACCTTACATATGGCCTCTGCTCTAGTGCTTTCTACATGCCAAGCACTTTGCATGCATGAATTCATTTTATCCTCACAAAATATGAAACTGGAATTCTATTTACTCCATTTTTATTTTTTGTCTTTTTTTTTGACAGCACTGGGAATCGAACCCAGGGCTTCATACATGCTAGGTAAGCACTGTACCACTGAGCTACACCCCCAACCCGTTGGGCCATAGGAAAACTGTTCCTGAGTTTTCAGGAACAGAGATTGAAAGCACAGTTTCTAGGGTAGGGGTGAGGTTGTAGCTCAGTGATAGACTGCATGCTTAACAGTGGCACATGTCTGTAAAACCAGCAAGAGGAGGCTGGGTGCCGGTGGCAACTCAGGAGGCAGAGATAAGGAGGATTGCTGTTCGAAGCTTACCCGGGACAACAGTTTGAGAGACCTTATCTTGAAAAAACCCATCACAAAAAAGCACTGGTGGAATGGCTCAAGGTGTAGGCCCTGAGTTCAAGCCCCAGAACCTCAAAAAAGAACAGCAAGAGGATCTTGAGTTCCAGGCTAGCCTGGGCTACATAGTGAGATCCTGTCTCAAAAACAAAATAAACAAAGCAAAGCAAAAAAAAAAAAAAAAAAAAGAAAATGTAGTTTCTTCTGCCTTCAAGGGGCTTCTATTCCAATATGGCAAATGCACACAACCAAGGGGAGCAGGAGCAAAACAGTACAAATTTCCTGATGTTTGCTTATAAGTTGTTAATACTGTTTACAACTGTTTACAAGTTGCCTACACATGTTGGAGAATGGGATGGCAGAGTGGCTCAAGTGGTAGAGCACCTGCCTAGCAAGTGTGACGCCTTGAGTTCAAACTCCAGTATGACCAAAAAAAAAAAAAAAAAAATGATGAAACAATTATGTCTCAACCAAACAGATGTAGAAGAGCAAGACAGGGAATGAAAAGATCAGCCCTATTCATTGAAGGCCAAAGAAAAATGAGCAATTTTAAAATTTGTCTGCGTGTGCATTATTTATTTTTGTATGTATATTTTGAAGGTACCCCATCACCCATACACACTTGAATGTATCTCCATGATGTCAAAGATTTTTGTCTGTCTTATGCATTCTCCCAAGTTCTTAGAACAGTGCCTGACACAAATTCATGATTCAATAGACATCTGTAAAATAAGTGAGTGGGGGTCAGGAATGTAGCTCAGTGGTAGACCCCTCACCTAGGCTGCATGAAGCCCTGAGTTCCATCCCCAGCACAGCAAAAAATAAGTAAATAAATAAAAATGAATTGAACTGACTCTGAAGACAAGAGAGGTCTCTGTTATATTAAGTGAAAAACAAACACGAAAACGAGCTGTAAACTATAACTTTAGTTTTGTACTGAAAATAATTATCTGTATGAGAAAAATACAGAAAACAGTGGCAAATGGTCAACAGTTGTGATCTTTGTTAGGAACACGGGTTGAATTAGAGTTTTCTTTTTTTTTTGCGGTAGTGGGGTTTGAACTCAGGGCCTACACCTTGAGCCACTCCACCAGCCCTTTTTTGTGTTAGGTATTTTCAAGATAGGGTCTTGAGGAATTAATTGCCTGGGCCTGGCTTTGAACAGCTGTCCTCCTGATCTCTGCCTCCTGAGTAGCTAGGATTACAGGTGTGAGCCACCAGTGCACAGCTGAAATACAGAATTTTCGACAACACTGGAAAATTTAAAATAATGTAAAGCCAATTTTTTTTTTTACAATATATGCACCTTATAAATTGTCAAGAATGAAAAGACACAGAGGGAGTTCTTTCTTTCTTCTTTTTCTTTATTTTTTTTATTGGAAGCTTTTTTGTTGTTGTTTGAATTCAGCTCTGCGTTTGAAAAGCAGGTGCTTTACTGCTTGAGCCACTCCTCCAGTCCATTTTGTTATGGTTATTTTTGAGATGAGACCTCTCAAACTATTTGTTCAGGCTGGCCTCAAACTGTGACCTCTCAATCTCAGCCTCCCAAGTAGCTAAGATCACAGGCGTCAGCCACTGATATGCAGGTAGAGTTCTATCTTACTAAGAAAAAACAAGCATTGACTTGGGAATCAAGAGTTTGACTACAATTATCACTTTATCTCTCTGAGCCCATTTCCTCCCAGGAAAACAAGGTTGATAGTGCCTGTTTCAAGAGCTGTTTTTGTGGATTAAATGAATCGGGAATAGGAAAGATTTTTTTCAAAGCTGCAAATTAAGGGATAGAAAAAGACCCTGGCCCACCAATGTCCAGGTCCTTTCTTCCCAAGGACCAAAGATTCCCAACCCCTTCCCAGCTTACCTCTTGCACAGGGATGAAGGCGCTGGGCCCTCGGGGGCCTCTCCGAGCCCGGCTCTCCCTGTGCTCCTAGGAGGAAACACAGGGAGGTTAGCTGTCAGAGGGTTGGAAGAAGAGAACAAGGTTCTCTCCAGTCTCCTCCTTTAACCCTGGGGGCTATACAGAGCTTCTAAAAGCTTCTTTCTGGTGCTCCCTGCCTGGAGGAGCCAGGGGAAAGATTTACACCTGTGTGGTGAGGGGCACATGGGTAACCAGAAGGGCTCATTCCAGGCTGAGCTGTACAAGAACTGGGCAGGGCCCCAGGAGCCCCAGTATTGCTGGGTGGAAGGGACACAGAGAAAGGAAATATACAGAGGCCATCTTCTGAGCAGCCCCGGAGAACCTGAAGGGAATCCCACCTCCGCCAGTATCCCAAGGCCAGTAACTAAGTACCCCATATGGCTGTGGAGTGGCTTCAGTCCCTCTTGAATTACTGTCTTTTGCAGGGCTGGAGCTGAACCCAGGCCTCACATCCAGCATGCTAGGCAGGCACTCTACCACTGAGCTCTCCCCTCAGCCATCAAATGATTGCTTCTCTCCCTCCCTCTGCATATGTCTCCTGCCCTCTTATATAAATCCTCTACCCACTAGCCAGATTAACTTCTTTTTGGGTGATGGGGATGGGGGTACTGGGGTTTGAACTTAGGGTCTCTGTGTGCTTGCCAGGCAAGCACTTTACCACTTGAGGTCCAGTCCAGCCAGATTACCTTTCTGAAGGGTAAATGGGTAAATCTGATCAACTGGTTCACATTCCCACACTGGTTCAGCCCCCCTCAGCACCAGCGCCTTCCAAACCACTACCCTCCCAATGCTCCCTCCTTTTGCAGAACTAACTCTACAGTCCTTCAGGGTCTGGGAACACTTATGACCCTCATCCATGACCCCACAATTCCCAGGGATTTTGCTTCTAAAACCCGTGTCCTCTAATGTCTGTTTTCAGTCGATCTACTCCCAGATCTCATTTTGGAGGGCAGGGCCAGGTCATTTACTGTGCTCTGTGAGTGAAAATGGAGGAAGCAGGGAGGCATGGAGGGAATGGAGTAGGTGTGAGGCCAGTGGCAGCAGCTATTCTGACAACAATCTACCTGAGCCTCTTTAGCAACCACCAGAACTGAGTACTCACTAAACCTGCTTCTCCCAGTCCTAGAGATGGGGTTCAGGAAGGGAGTTTTATTTACTCATTTATTTTGTTAATTGAGAAGCAGGCTCACCGGGCTGGTGGCTCATGCCTATAATTCTAGCTATTTGGGAGGCTGAGATAGGGAGGATCACAGTTTGAGGCCATCCTGGGAAAATAGTTCACCACAGCAAAATGGACTGGAGGTGTGGCTCAAGCAGTAGAGTGCCTGCTTTGTAAGTATGAAGCCCTGAGTTCAAACACATGTTCCACCAAAAACAAAAAGAGAGAGACTTTCTACACTAGCCTTGGAATAAATTTACCCAACTCAGAGTCACACCTTCACTGGAGTGGGCACAGTCCCCCAATCCTCCCTTCACCATTAAGAACCAGATTTAGGGGCTGGCAGAGTGGCTCAAGTGGTAGAGCACCTGCCTAACAAACAAGAGGCCCTGAGTTCAAATCCCAGCACCACCAAAAAAAAAAAAAACCCATATGATCCAGACTTAGTGCCCCAGATGTCCAGGAACTAAAAAAACTATAATTAAACTTTCTTATTCCAGGTGGTCAAAGTTGCCTGAGAGAGACAGACCTTTGAGGGTCTGGTAGATTACAAAGGAAAGAACTATGGGACCTGGAAGTCACAGGTATAGGTACCAGTTCTGCCACTAACTTGTTGTGTGGCTTTAGGAAAGTTACCTAGATTGTCTGGGCCTTACTCCTGATCAAAGAAGGGTACCAGGCTGACTGACTGCAAAGGCTCCTTTCAGTTCATACTTCTGGGAAGAACCAAGCCAGGCTGGTCCATGGCCAGTGTAGAAGTAACATCTTGATCTGAGCACTCCTTTTCCTTTGCAGCTCGCCTCCTCCCTCACCCAAGAGAGAGACAAAGCCCAACAGCCCTCCGGGGAGATAAGGACTGCTGACTCCACAGAATGGGCCCCCCTTCAGGGAACCTGAAAGCAGATAGAAAACCGCAGGAGGGCACGTGTGGTGGCTCAGGCCAGCAGGTCAATAATCCAAGCAGGAAGATAGAGTTCAAGGCCAGCCCAGGCTACATAGCAAATCCTGGTCTCCAAATAAAGGGTGGGGGACTGTGAATTGCAATATGTAATATTATTATTAAAACATGAAGATGAAAAATTAAGGGCTGTGGGTGTGGCTCAAGTGGTAGAACACTAGTTGAGTTCAAACCCCAGTAGCACCATAAAAACAAAACCACAGCAGGAAGGACAGAGTTGAGGTAGGGGCCAAGGAGGACCCTCCAGAGGTGCTGGGGGGGACAACACAGGGAATAACTTTGGAAATCATCGTACCCCAAAATCTGACCCAGGAGCTGTCAAAGGTTTTCAAGTGCTGGGTCTGGACCCATCAACGTTTTCCAGCAATAATGATGATGACGATGACAATGATAATTATTTGTGGCTCAAGTGGTAGAACACTTGATGAGCATGTGGAAGGCCCTGAGATCAAACCCTAATAACTAGTAATAAACAGTAACGTAGAACACAGTTAAAAAAGAGGCCTAGCTGGGTACCAGTGGCTCACGCCTGTAATCCTAGCTACTCAGGAGGCAGAGATCAGGAGGATTGTGGCTTGAAGCCAGCTCAGGCAAATAGTTCACAAGACCCTATCTCGAAAAAATCCATCACAAAAAAGGGCTGGTAGACTGGTTCAAAGTGTAGGCCCTGAATTCAAGCCCCAGTACTGCAAAAAAAAAAAAAAAAAAAAAAATGGAGAGGCGTTGGGGGCTGGAGCTCAGTGGTAGAGCACTTACGTAGCACTCTCAAGGCCCTGGGTTCCATCTCTAGCATCACCAAAAAAAGCCAGGGGTGGGGGGTGGGTTGTGGCTTTTGACACAAACTGCCTAGAGTCAAAGGACAGCTCAACTATCTGCTATCTGTTAGCTATCTGAGCCTCAGTTTCCTCGCCAATTAATGGGACTAGTACCTACTTTCACTGGGTCATGATGATTTAATGAGATAATGCCACCCAGCTTACCCCAGCACCTCCATCAGGACAATCATTTAATAAAAGTCCCCTGTCATTAACCTCATTGTGGTTCCAAACAAGCAGTGCATTAGAATCCCTTGGAGAAGCTTTTTTAAAAATACAAGGAAAAGCAGGTGCCGGTGGCTCACACCTATAATCCTAGCTACTCAGGAGGCAGAGATCAAGAGGATTGTAGTTCAAGGTCAGCCAGGGGAAATAGTCCATGAGACCCTATCTTGAAAAAAGAACCTGAGTTTTTCACTTTATTGAATTTATCTGAATATTTATTTATTTTTGGGTTTTGTTTGTTTAATTTTTTTTGTGTGTGTGTGGTGCTCAGGGCCTCATGCTTGCTAGACAGGTGCTCTACTGCTTGAGCCACTCCACTAGCCCTTAAATTTATTTTTGAAAAGAGATTTTGATGTCCCAATCCTCCTGCCTCAGCCTTTGGAGTAGCTGAGATTGCAGGTACAATCCACCACAGACTATAAATTTGTTTATTTATTTGGCAGTACTGGCGTTTGAACTCAGGGTTTCCTGCTCACTAGGCAGCAGGTGCTTTACCGCTTGAGGCACCTCCCAGCCCCAACTATAAATTTAAACAGCCACACATGGCTGGGGGCTACTTTTTTTTTTTTTTGGAGTGAAAGTGATAAAAGTTTATTAGGAAAGGAATACTCCTAATAGAACAAAAGTGGACTGGGGCTACTCATTCAAAAGAACAGGTTTGGCTGGTGGAGTAGCTTAAGCAGAGCGCCTGCCTAGCAAGCATGAGGCCCTGAGTTCAAGCCCCAGTGCCGCCAAAAAAAAGAACAAGAAAAAGAGTACAGGTTCACTACATTTTATAAAGGCATGATTCCACCTGTACTTTACATATGAAAAATGGGAGAACCAAAGGGGGAAGTCACTTGTCCAAGTAACACAGCTAACTACTGTGGAGCAGAGGGAGATCCAACAGTAGCTGTTCCTGAAATTCCAACTGAGAAGATCACATGGGGCAGCAGGAACAAAGAAGTCAGACAGCCCTCAGAAGGCACTCAACAGGAGGTCTTTAGACAACTGCAAGAATAGGCTAATGGCCTCCCAATTTAAGTCCTCACTAGACATTACTTTTGGATTAGCTCAAGTACTCTTGAGAGACTTCATGGAATCTTCAACAGTTTGGGGGTTATGGAGACTCTGTTTTACACACAAGGAAAGATTAAGGGTGTAGAAGTTAAACACCAACTAACAAGTGTAGCGATTTGAACCCAGGAATGCCAGGGACCTAGGGGCCTTTCCATTCTACTATAACAGCTCTGGAAGGTGCTCTAGGCTTAGGGATTTGAACTCAGCTCAGTCTGACTTCCCAGGGATCCATCCACCGCCTGCACCAGCCCCGTAGAGGAGCCTTTGTTCTCAGCACGCAAAGCCTGCCGGCTGTTGGATTCAGCTATAGACACCTGCTAAGTCACTCTGACAGCTGGGAAGGGGCACACACTGCCACCCCACCCCCAGTCAGCTGAACTCAGATATGTGCCTGGGTTTACACCTGAGAGGAAGACAGCACAGGCCTGACATCTGTCCAGCCTTGGATGAGTGGTGCTATACCCTGCTTTCCCCATCAGGAGCTGGGAACCAGGTTCAGTGATTTCCATGTCTGATCTTACCACCACGCTGAGAAAAACAGGCCTTATCCTTTATAGACAGGTCAGTGAAGCGCAGAATGACCCTCTGCCAGCCATGCCAGCTCAGATCTGCTTTCAAGGCCCAAAGAGTTCACAAGGGCCAGCTAAGCCACCGAGGGGCAGATAATTTGCAAGCACTTATTAGATGCAAAGAACAATGCTGGGGATGGAGCTGCAGGGTACCTGAGTCCAATAAGGGAGACAAGAAAGCCTAATTCATGTATGTGAAAGGCATAGGTGTTTCACATAATTGAGCCAAAAGTTCCCATGAAGAAGGAGGGACAGAAGAGGTATGCAAAGGGATATATCTGTGGAGAAGGAAAAGCTTCCCTGAGGAAGTGATGTGATTCTAGAAGTTATTCTAGAATTCAGCTTTGAAAACATACTACCAGTACAAGAGTGAGGCCCTCAGAACTTTCTGGAAATAGGTGTATCTGAAGACCTTAACCCCTGAATGGATGGGGAACCCAGAGGACTGCACATTTGGCCCATCCCTTCCATGGCTCACATGACACAGACCCTGAGTTCAAATTCAGTACCATCAAAAAGAGGTGGGCACCTGTGGCTCATGCCTGTAATCCTCCCTACTCAGTTTGAAGCCAGCACAGGCAAATAGTTTGAGAGCTCCTATCTGGAAAAAACCCATCACAAAAAAGAGCTGGTGGAGTGGCTCAAAGTGTAGGCCTGGAGTTCAAGTGCCAGTACCACAAAAAAAAGAAAGAAAAAGAAAATGAAGGGGCTGGGGTGTGGCTCAAGGGGTAGAGCGCTTGCCTAGTGACAGTTAGGCCAAGTCAAACCCCAGTACCACCTCCCCCCCCAAAAAAAAAGAGAAGAAAGAAAATGAAAAGTGAAAAGTGACTTCCTCTAATGCCACTTCCTCTCCCTAAAGGACAATCCCAGACAACCTGAAGCACCTAAGGCCTGAGCACTTAGGGTTTTCTCACCTCATGCAGGAGGTTGGTTCAGGAAGCCCCTGAGAAGCACTCTAGGGGAAGGAAATGTGTGCCATGACTGTGTGTCAGTAGCTAGCTAGAATTTTGGATGCAATTGCCATATTCCTTGTAGTAACTATGTTGCAGGCACTGAGCTTCAGGGCTTTGCTTGTATTCTGAGATAATTCTCCCAACAGTCCCTTGGAGATACCATCAGCTCTCCATGGGAAGAAACTGCAATCAGAGATGTGATCGGCCAAGATAACACAGCAAGCAAGTGGAGGGCTGAGACAGGAAACCAGCACTCACCCACTCTTGGTACCCAGGTGCTCTCCGTAATAACATTATTTCCATTTTTCATAAAGAAACAAAGCCACTCAGCTGAGAAGAGGCAGAATGAGGGGTCACTTCTCCACTTAAGGCTCTTCAATCATGGCCGAGAAGGGTAACAAACAGAAAACCCTGCAAACAAATCATCCACCACCGAAGGTAGAACCATATCGCTCAGACAAGAGCAGAGATTTTCCCCAGGTCACACACTTAAGGTCTAGCACTCCACCAATTTCCAACTCTGCCCCTCCAGGCTTCGACACTAAAGAAACAAGCAAAACTCCCTGTAGTGCCAAGCATTTTCCAAAACCCTAGAAACACCCAGGTCAAAGAAGGAGGTACTCGCTGGGGTTAGTGAAGAAGCCTCTCCCTAAATCCCTCTCAGGCCTCAATTTTCTCGTCCTGTAAAATGGGCACAATTTGTATTTGCTGGTTTAGTTTGAAAGACTCAGAAAAACCCGAACGCTGGCATCTAGTAGGTGCTTAATAAATAATATATTCATTACTGCTCCTGTGAGGGGGGTGTGTGGGGCTGATTTATTTAAGTCCAGCCCTATTCCTTGCAAGTAGGACCCTGGCAAGGTCCCTCCACCTCCAGGCTCTGCGGGAGCGAGAAGGCAATCCCTGTGAAACAAACTTGGAGGGCCCCAGACCATAGTTAGTAGGAGCAGCATAACTAGCACTGGTCTTTCCGAGCCAAGGCCAGGGTCGCCCATTTCACCCCCTCCCCCTCGCCCCAGCTTTGGCTTTATCTGCTGCCGCGTACCGCGCTGCCAACCAAACCTCCCAGAGTACCCGCGCCTCCTTCTATATCAGGGGGTGCAGGTGGGGGCAAGGGAAGGGGATCGACCTTCGTTGGCCTGTCCCAGGTGCCTCATTCCCCGCGCTGAGGGATCGGAACGGGGACGCATCCTAGAAAGAGTCCCCTGCTCGCCTGCCCCCGCCAAGAGGAAGGGAATCTGCGGAAGGGGGCGGGGAGGAGGAGTGGTCGGGCCGCTCTGGCCGGGATTTGCCTGGACTTGAAGACGCTCCCTCCACCAGAGCCCAAACCCAGGCGAGCCTGGAGAAGGCGTCCCTCTCATTGGCCAGGAGTCCGAGGGAGTCAGGGAAGGCTCCGCAGCCTGGGGGGGAGGTGAGGGAGGGGGAGTGGGGGGAGAGAGAGAGAGAGAGAGAGAGAGAGAGAGAGGGAGAGGGCAACCGGAGGAGAACAGAGGCCCGAGGCTGCCAGTTGATGCAACCCAAGTCCAGGCTTACACGCTCCACTCCCCCTGCGCTTCACTCCCCCTCCCCAAGCCCTGGGGGCGCACGGACTTAGCTCGGGACAGCCTGAGGCTCGGAACGCGGCTCGGGGAAGAGTGACGTCGCTCGGCTCCTGCTTACCTCTCCGGTCCCCGAGCCGCCGACGCCGCCCCGGGCGAACGGCAGGTAGCCCTTGAGCTCGGCGCGGCACTCGGAGTCCGCAACGATCATGGTGTGCGCCAGGATCCAGCCGCGGCTCGCTGTCGACTCGTGCACCGGAGGGGGTCTCGGACCGGCGCACGCAGGAAGCCGAGGCTGGGGGGCGCTGGGGAGGTTCGAGAATTCCGGGGTGTCTCTCGGGGTTCCAGAACGCCCCGGATCCGGAGAACGGCCGCCGCTGCGCTGGACTCCTCTCCCACTCTGGCTTCTCGATCAGTGAATGGCCTCGGAGGCCTGGGGTTGGCCGCGGCGCAGGGGTTTTCACGGCCCGGAGCGCTTCGGAAGTCCGCAGTGGCCAGCGCTGCTCGCGGACCCAGCGCTCCTTAGCATCCCCGCCGCGGAACTGCCAGCGCTCACCGGGCTCTGACACCAGCAGCTCAGCTCAGCCCGCTGCGGTCCCCAGGGGAGGGCGGGGACACAAAAGCCCCGCAGCTCAGCCAATCAGATGCCTGTTTCCCGGGGAGGCGGGGGCGACACCTCCCTCTGAAGCCAACCGTTCCTCCAATCGGTATCAGGAAGCTCCCGGGAACTCTGGGAGCTGTAGTCGGCTGCCAACGAATGCTGCAAACTTTTGCAAGAGGGGTTACTCAGATCATTTACAATACCAGACGAGAGTGACAGCCCGGAGAATCATTAGAATGCGTGATGAAACGGGATTTTACCGGGCTGGGCCAGAGAGCCGAGTGTGAAATCCCTCCCAAGTGAGTTCTTCCAGCTTTCCAGACCTGGAGGGACTGGTTAGGGTAGGGAGAGGTTTGGCTCCGTGGTATCCAATGGTGCTAATTATAGAGCTGAATACCAGATATTGGGGATTAGAGGATACCACCCCGTTTCCCCAGGCCTCAGGGAGCACTCCACTTCCAGAGTACCAGACGCAGGGAATCCACCTTATTTGTGGAGTCTCAGGAAAAGCCCTCATGCACTGAAATGACACAGGCACTGTGTAATAACACTCCTTACTGCTAGCCCCCCCTCCCTCCTTGGTACCTGCAGCCTCCTTCCTGAAACTTCGTAACAAGGTGTTCTGCTAGGTCTATTCTCACTTCTTTCTCTGGCCACTCCTTTTCTGACTCCTCTTTCTCCTCCCACTCCTAAAACGTGAGCGCTCCCCTAGTTTCTGTTTTTTATCCCTCACCTCTCCAGGCACACTCTGATCTCATCTACTTCCTGCCCTTCAGTTCTTTTGCATGGAAGTTGCCTTTCCAGCACCTCAAAGCTCAATTCATCTCTTGTTCACTTCCAACAGAGCCTCTTCTTTCACTATTTTTCTTCAGGCTCCTCTTTTTGTTTCAGTTTAAAAGTCTTTGTTTATTCTGGACAGGGAATCCTGGCAGGGGCCAGAACCAACTAGGCCTCCCAGGACCCTCCAAGACATTCTGATATATAGGTCTATAATTCTAAAGAGGAGCCTTTGGTCTCCTGCCTCTGGTTTCTTGGGAGAAGGGAATTTCATCCTCTTCTGAGCTCCCAAGGCACTTGGGCTGGGTCTCTTTTCAGCATTTTTCCACACTCCACCTTGTATTGTAATTTCCTGTGTATGTGTCTTATTTGACATTTTTTATTATGAACTCCTTGGGAGCAGGGTCCACATTTTGACATCTTTTTCTTCTGCCTGTGCCACCTAGCACAATGTCCTGCTAATAATATGTTTTTGGTCATTGAGTCTTCCTTTGAGCTAAATCCCTTCCTAAGCAGCCCTGTAGAAGATTCAGCTTTCATTTTAAACATTTACTCTGTGGCCTGGGGGGTATAGCTCAGTGTTCAGTGCTCTCTTAGGAGTGGGAGGCCCTGGGTTCCATCCCCAACACACACACATACACTTCACCAGAATTTCATCATCTCCAAAATAAGGATCAAACATCTAGAATGATATTCAACATCTGCCCAGTTGTATCTTACCTGCCACACCCCTGCTCCTTGTTTGGCCTTTCAAACCTGTCTTTCAGTTGTCCTGTTTGCAAATCTGTGCCCACTGAAAATGTATCTCAGCCTGGCACCGGTGGCTCACGCCTGCAATCCTAGCTACTTGGGAGGCAGAGATCAGGAGGCTCATGGTTCAAAGCCCAGGCAAATAGTTGGTGAGACCCTACCTTGAAAAAACCCTTTACACAAAAGGTCTGGTGGAGTGGCTCAAGGTGTAGGCCCTGAGTTCAAATGCCAAGACCACAAAAAAAAAAAAAAAAGCAAGAAAGAAAATGTATCTGACATTCATTCCTGCTTGTGGACTGAATGAAGACTTCACAGGCCACTCCTCCAAGGGCCTACTTCAGCTCAGCTGAAAGTAATCCTGCCCATTCCTCAACAATTTCAACACATTCCTTCTACCTCTCTATATCACTGGCCTCCAAACCTGATTCAGCTTCATATCCTGTCTATATGTCTTAACCCTTCCCTGCAACTAACAATGGAATATGCTGTTGACCATTTGTACAAAAGAGGAAACATCAACTCAGAAAGGTAAAACTACTTGTCAAGGTCACACAGTATCTTCTTTTTACTACACCAGGCTGTGTCCTTTCAGGCAGGAACTTTGTCTAGTTATCTATGTATCCCTCACTAGCATATAGTGTGAGTCCTCAGTAATTTCATTTTGTGTGTGTGTGTGGTGCTGGGGATCAAACCAGCACCTCACACGTGCTGGGCAAGAACTCTATCACTTAGCTATACCCTGGCTATCCTTTCAAATGAATATGAGTTACTCTCCTTATGAGAAGTCCCCTTTGGAATCTTCAAAGAAGTGTCTAAATCATTCAAAAAGTTTCACTTACAAAGTCAGTGATTTTGTGAGAAGGAAAAGCAAATGATACTACCATTCTAAATAGGGTGAACTTTTGTGACTCAGCCTCCAAGGAAGGAAAGAGGAAGAGACACACAGACACTAACATTTATTTAGTTCCACTAAGAGTTCAGGCTATATCCATTGTCCCTTGTAACTCTCACTATGACCTGATGAAGTAGGCATTGTGTCTCCTTTTGACAGATGACAAAACTGAAGCTCAGGAGGTGCGTTGGCCGAGATCAAGTAGCTTAGTAATATGCTGAGTACCCAAACCCAGTATGACTACATGGCAGAAACTCCACCACCCCAGTGATGAGAAAAGGATGTGAATATGTATGAAGCAGGCTGGCACATGTAACTGATGCTTAAAGCAGATACATTAATTGAGAGTAACTGTCAAGTGGCCTATAATTGCTGGGCCAGCACATCCTCTTTGTGGGAGAGCTTCCATGAAAGCCAAGTTATCATTTGAAGATGGCGGCGGCTGGAATCTGAGCAGAAGAAACCAGTGAAAAGATGAATCACTGACCTGGTAGAGTTCAGAGTACTGAGTACAAAACTCAGAGCATCAGCTCCTTCCCTCTTTCTTTCCATTCACTAAACATTTATTGCCCATCTAGTGTGTATCAGGTGCTGAGCTGGGCTCTGGAAACCCAGAGGTGAGCGATCAGCTCAGTGGGGCAAGAAGGGAGTGGGGTGTGACACTGGCTAGGCACATTCTTCCCCTCCCCCATGCCTTGTATTTTTGGTTCTGACAAGATCTCCTCCTATTGCCATACTCTTGCATCAGCTATGTTGAGGCCACTGATTGGCCAAAGCTATTTTTACTCCTTAATCACATTCCAGTTCTGAAGAGATGTCTAGATTAGACTTGAGATGTTTTTGAGATTTCTTCAGCTTCAGATCCTCTCAGATTATGAATCTAATGGGAGTCTTATCTGTTTTGTATTTATTCTTCCTGAATTTTTTGATCTCCAGTTTTGAAATCACTTTGCTGTAATGACCTTGCATTCCAGGGGCTGTGATGACTTATCACCCCAGACGTCATCTTCTGAGCTCTTATTGTTTTCCTACCTTAGTCCCCAATCTCAGAATACAATTTCTGACTAGGTGAGCTTTCAGGAAAGTAGCCCTACTCCAACTGGTTTGATAAAGCCATAGGAAACACCCCCCCTCCCCCGCCAAGATGTATTTGCACTTTCATTCACTCACTCATTAAGCAGGCATTGTTGGAGGTGTTGAGCAAGGTTCTTCCTGCTCCCAAATGACAGTTCCTGAGCTGTCAAAAAACACAACCAACTTTGAAATTGTCTCCCCTATAGTTGTGCATTAGCGGGCAGGACAACCACAGAATGCGGAAACAGAGCCAACTCACTCCTAAAAGAACTTCCAAAGAGTCTAGTTTCTAACTTTGTCACCCAAAGAAATGTATCACCCTCCTCCAACACCTCAAACCCCCAGTTCTTAGACTCTGTTTCCTCATCTGCAAAAAAAAGGAATTGAAATGGGCTCTACCCGTCTAGAACTGTGGAGAGAACTGGTGTTGGCAATGTATATAGTTCGCTTTCCTCGGCTGCATATTGAGGGCAGAAATCATCGGGTTTGGAAAAATATGAAAGCTAATCCACCGCGTACTTTTGGGCAATTCTGCGGAGTTCAGTTTAGTTTTGTTGGCCGAGTGAGCCATCAGCGCCCCCTGCAGGCCGGACCCTACTACAACTCAGCCAGAACGTGGAAAAGGGTGTTCTGAAACCACCCCCACAAACGTTTTTAGCTTATAGGATAGTTAGGTCCCAGGTTATTGCCTCGAGACCTTGAAAAAAAGCAAGGCCATCATTAAGTGAAGATCACGTGGTTGCTGAAGAGTCTCCTGCTGCCAGCAAGGATCAGGCTCCCCAAAAGATTTCAGAGTCTGGCCGGGCACAAGTGGCTCACTCCTGTAATCCTAGCTACTTGGGAGGCAAAACAGGAGCATCTTGGTTCCAGGCGAGGCCGGGCAAATAATTCATGAGACCTCCACCTCCAAAATAACCAATAGCAAAAAATGGACTGGAGCGGGGTGCCAGTAGTTCATGCCTGTAGTCCTAGCTACTCAGCAGGCAAAAATCAGGAGGTTGAAGTTCGAAGCCAGCCTGGGCCAAATAGTTCGCGAGACCCTATCTCAAAAAACCCTTCACAAAAAAGGGCTGGTGGACTGGTTCAAGGTGTAGATCCTGAGTTCAAACCCCAGTACCACCACCAAAAAAAAAAAAAAAGTCCTGGCGGTGTGTCCTGTGTCATAAGCAGTAGGGTGCTTGCTTTGTAAAGGTCAAAGCCCTTAGTTAACACCCCAGTTCCACAAACAAACAAACAGACTTCACAACCTTTTTAATTATTTTTTGTGCTGATACTAGGGTTTGAACTAAGGGCCTCACACTTGCTAGGCAGGCGCTCTACCACTTAAGCCATTCTACCAGTCTCAAGACTTCACAACCTGAAATGCACTTCCTATTCGTTTGGTTTACTACCATATTTCACAGGCAGGAAGTCTCAAATCCAGAGAGAAGAAAGAATTTGCCGAACCCCGCACCCCAAATTGTTCTATATCCCAAGTTGTTCGCAGAGTGGAGACTAGAATCTGGAGGTCCGGCCCCCAGATCAGGG